AAGGATGAATGAACCAATAAGCAAAGGAATGAATGTGCCTAAGAGAACTTCAGAGTCATTCAGGAAGAAGTGACAATGTGTAAACGGGCTCATCACTTCTCAATATTCTCATACTATATGACGATTTCCCCGCAACCTGTCTATGTCAGAACTTATATTAAAAAGGAAGGGGGAAAGTTGAAAGATACTGAGACTGGTTTTCGACATTCCCATTTTAAAGGGCAGGGAGCTATTCTGGAAGAGAAAAGACTAAATCCAGAGACAAAAGGAAGTGAGAAAAAGAAAAGTGCCAGCACAGTAAGCTGGAGAGAGACTTTGGGAGAGTTCTGAGGAAAGGTTCAAGCAGGCCATAGAGTCACCTACCGTGCTGTGATTCAGAAAGAGGATTCTAAATGCAGTTTTGCCCCAGGTTATCAACGAAACTCCCACGCAGTTTCTTAAAAGGCCGTAGTAAGGATTTAAATCACTTTACTATTATTTCTAGATGTCATTTATTAATTTATTCTATAGATATTTAGTGACAGAGGCAGCTTCTTAGGACTGTTTACACTGGCAGCCTCTATAGAGACAGGCCTCTCGGTGGAAACAAGAAAGCCCAGCTTGATACAGGTTACAGCAAAGAAAACATGCAGAACAGGAAAACTGCAGTTGACCCTTGAATAACAACGTGGGCTTGAGCTGCACGGGTCCAGTTAAACGCAGATTCTTTTCAATAAAAGTGACCCCAATTGTGCCTGTCTTTCCCGCCTCCCCTTCCACCTCCTCCATCTCTTCCACATCTGCCACCCTGAGGGCAAGACCAGCCCCTCCTCTTCCTCCTCCTCAGCCTACTGAACATCAAGACAATGAAGACCTCCACTTAATGAATAGTAAATATATTTTCTCTTCCTTATGATTTTCTTAAAAACATTTTTTTTCTAGCTTACATTATTATGAAAACATACTATATAATACATACAGCACACAAAATATGCGTTAATCAACGATTCATGTTATGGTGAGGCTTCTGGCCAACAGTAGGCTATTAATAGCTAAGTTTCGGTCAAAAGTTGTAAGTGGATTTTCAACTGTATACGGGGTCAGTGTGCCTAACCCCTGCATTGCTCAAGGGTCAACGGTATATTCTAATAATGCTTCTTGTTATATTCTTTGAGAACATCCTTATATAGAAAATAGGTTATAGCTATTATTATGGAAAATAGTATGGAGGTTCCTCAAAATGTTAAAAATACAACTACCATATGATCCAGCAATTATACTCTATGTATATATGCAAAGGAAATAAAACCAGTATGTCAAAGATATGCCTACACTCCCATGTTCATTGCAGCATTACTCACAGTAGCTGAGATATGGAAACAACCAACATGTCTATCAACGGAAAAAAAGATAAAGAAAATGTGATATATATACACAATGGAATACTATTCAGTCTTAAAATACAAAGACATTCTACCATTTGCAACAACGTGGATGAACCCAGAGGACATTATAATAAATGAAATAAGCCAGGTACAGAAAGACAAATACTGCCTGATCTCACTTTCATATGTGGAACTATTAGGTTATTAAGTATGAAATGTCTGATTTCCTTAAGTACTAAGTTTGACAATTCATATCTCTGACATTTCACTTTGACACTTCTTGTTTTATTTTTATTCTGAAGGTACATCCTCAGTCTTGCAAATGCACATTTTGGCTTGTAACTGTCTTTAAAAAAATTTTTTAGAGCAAATTTTGTGAAACCATGGATAAGTCAAAAATTATTATTTTCGAATATGAGTTCCATCGTAGAGCCAATGCAGCGCAGACAGCTCAAAATATCAATGAAGCATTTGGGAAGGATGTTGCCAATGAACTCACAGTACATTGATAGTTGGAGAAGTTCCATTCTCGTGATTTTAATCTTGAAAACGAGCCACGTGGGTGAGCTGAGACCAAGGTGGATAATGATGAGCTCAAAGCTGCGGTGGAAGTGAATTCATCTCAACCTCTGTGTGATTTAGCAGCAAGGTTTGCCATTACTATTCCAACAATATGGGACCATTTGAAACAAATGGTCAAGGTAAAGGAGCTGGATAGATGGGTTCTGCATGAATTAAAAGAGCATCAGAAGAGAAATTGTCTCAAAGCTTGCCTTTCTTTGATGTCATGACATAAATGTGAACCATTTCTACACTGCATTGTTACATGTGATGAAAATAGATTCTTTCTGACAATCGCAAGCATTTGGCACAATGGTTGGATAAAGATGAAGTGCCGGAACACAGTCCAAAGCCAAAGATTCATCAAAAAACACTAATAGTGTCTGTTTGGTGGTTCAGCGCTGGTATTATCCCCTACAGCTTCAGGAAACCTGGTCAGTTGATTACAGTGGATGTCTACTGCAACCAGTTGGATGAAATGATGAGGATGCTCACAATTAAGCAGCCAAGATTGGTCAATAGAGACAGGCCAATCTTCTTACAAGACCACATGTGGCAAAAAACAACACTGCTCAAACTACAGAGGCTGGACTTGGAAACTCTCTTGTCATCCGCTGTATTTACCAGACTTTGCACCCACTGACTACCACTTCTTCCATGCCCTGGACCACTTCTTGCAAGGAAAAATATTCAATTCTCAACAAGCTGTGGAAAACACCTTTAGCAATTTCATCGCCACTCACTATCCAGGCTTCTTCACTGCTGGCATAAACAGCTACTGTTAAGATGGCAAAACTGTGTCGAGAGTTTAGGCGCATACTTTAACTCTACTGCTTTTTGTTTGAGATATAATAAACTACACTTTTGATTTGAAATCAGACATTTGATAATACTGTAGAACTCATAAAAGCAGAGGGTAGAATGGTGGTTGCCAGGGGCTAGGATGGAAATAGGAGAAGTTGGCCAAAGGGTACAAAGTTTCAGTCAGATAGAATGAATAAGTTGTGACAATCTATTGTACAGCACGGTGACGACAGTTGTTAATTATGTATTCTATACTTGAAAATTGCTAAGGTACTAAGAGAGCCCATCTTAAATGTTCTCACCACAAAAAAGTTCTAAGTGTGTGAAGTGATAGACATGTTAATCAGCTTGATGCAATCATCTCACAATGCATACAAAGATCAAAACATAACCTTGTGCACCATAAATACATACAATGTGTTGTTCTCAGTTGCAGTCAACCAACAGAGGAACTTCTGGAACTCAACCACGCAAATTGGAGACTGCTTGTTCACTGGACAACTTTTTCCCATAGCTAGTCATTTTTTCCTTCTCTTCTAAAGGTTAAAGTAAAGCATTACCAGGCCTCATGAATTTCTCATGAGTTATTACTAAGTGCAACCAAATTCCAAAGCACCATTTGACTAAGAAACGTCTTCAACCTAAATGCATAGGCATCAAAATTGCCAACAGTAATAACCCAAGGCTACTTCCATTATGAATTTGGTCTTTGCTTTAAGAAAAAAAATACCATGATACTTCCCTAGATGATAACCCACATAAAGCACATAAAGTGTTCTCCATGATTAACAATGGCATTTGTGTCACGGCCGGTGCCAGGAAGGGAAGCATGTGGCTGAGCGTAGACAGCACAGCCACAGAGATCTCTTCTAAAAACAGAACACAGGATAGTTCATTCTTTAAGATCTTCCAGGGGAAACTGAATGATGAGTGTGTTGATGTCTTTTAAATTCAATTTTTTAAATGCTTTAAGATCCTGTGCCCTGATTACTGGCTGGCCTATATATTTTTGGCAACACTAGTGCCCTGGAGGGCCTGATGATTTGACAAGCAGTTAAGGTCTTCTGTTAAGATGAATTTTGAAAAGGCTAAGATAAGTAGGCTAATTTCCTACAAAAGTATTTTCTTCTGATCTTGGAAATGTTAAAGGGGCCATGTAAGTGTATTATTCTGAGCAAGGAAAGTTTTGCCTTATAAAGACTGCCAGTGTAAACAACTCATCCCCCAGCCAGCTGCAGAGCCCGATGAAGCTCATTTTCCAGGCAGAAGCAGTGACCTGTACCTAATGGGGCTGGGTGAGAGGGCAAACTAACTTAGTGGATCAGATCTCCTGTGTAAATTATTATTTGTGTCTAATATATAGAAACAAATGGCCTTTGCAAAGGGCGTTGTGAGGATCCAGTAAGACAATGTGCAGAAAATGTCTAGTGTCATATCTGGCATTATCATCATCATTACAACAGAAACACATTGCACTCACTGCTCGGATCGAGCCAAGAAATGTAAAAGAAAAAAAGTTTTCTTGTTTCCCTGCACCCTCATTTTTGGACCAGAATCTCTCTACATATCTCCAAAGTATTATAACAGTATATGCTTGAAGTTTTCTATTTCCTTTTAATCAAATATTTCAAACATTATCTTGTTAGCAAAAAACCCATAGGAAAGGGAAAATAACTTCTTAAATATTTATTTCTAAAAGACAGTTTTCCCACGGGGCTTCTTTGGCAGATATGCAATTACCATTGTAGAGAACTAAAAGGAGCTTTAGGTACCATTTTAAAAACAAGGACATTAAGACCCAAAGAGACTAAGGGAATACCAGGCCTAGTAAAAAGAAAGGGATCTACTTTGGATAGCAGTACAAATCTCTTTGCACTAATCTTATCTATTAAAACGTCGAAATGATGCTAAGGCATCCTTAGATGGCATGATCACACAAATGAAGGGAAATGAACATCCACAAAATAAATACTACTGGCCAACTGCTTCTGCATAACTTACTGCCTTGCATCACTAAAACTTTGCAACATAGGCATTATTAGCACTGCTTTTAAGGTAAGGAAACTGAGGCCGATGAAGATCACAAAATCAGCAGTAGGCAAAGCCGGGATTCAGATCTGGATAAAGCCCCAGCCCTTTCAATATACCCCAGTGCCTTCTGGAAGGCTAAGTGAGTCCTACGACACCCCTGTTATTGAAAAAATAACTTTTTCTGGCTTCTAAGCAGAAACTAAACAGCTAGGGGGTGAAAACTGCTCCAAGATCACATACCTGTAGTGGAGTCAATGGTAAAAAGGGATGACAGGTCTCCCGGAACGAGTTCATAAGCCACTGTCCCATATATCCCAGAATCCCGGTCGGTGGCAAGAACACTGATGATCTCGGTGCCTGGCTGGGTCTGAGCACTGATGCTCGTCACATAGGTTGACGGGTTAAACATGGGGTGATTATCATTCACGTCCTCCAGTTCCACACGAACAAAGGCTTGGGCACTTAGTCCCCCCTGTTGGATGAAGGAGCAGTGATTACAAATGGGTCTGCTGAACACTGGGATGGAGACTAGTTGACAACAATCCTAGAGTAGACTTTTAAAACAACACAAGGTATATGTATACATATACACACCTATATATTCATTTTACTTTTAACCTTGAGACATGAGTTCATATGTAGTGGCATGGTATCTACACTTCAGTCATGATTCTTAAACATTAATGAGATTACCACTTAAAGCTCCTGTGAGGCAAAAATTTCAGAGTGGAGGCCAAAGATATTCAAGGGAAGTTGTTCTGATGTCCAAAAAGGAATGGAAATCACTTTTATCCACGTGATAACTTTAAAACAAATGTTGGTAAGTACTAAGGGGAAGGGGTAGGGAGTATTGGTGAGGGATGCCCTGGTGAAACGCTCACTAGAAAGGTACTTCCTTGACTAGACTTCAGTTATCTAGAAGAAAAGGACAAGAGGCCAAGGAAATAGCAGGTGCAAAGGCCCTGAGGCAGGAGTGCAGTGCAAGTGTACCCCCCTGGCCTTTTTAGGCGCAGCAGTCTAGAGGCAAGTAGGGCTGACATCAGAGAAGCAGCGGCAGGTCACAGGGCCTCTATAGGGTACTGGAAGGACCATGGCTCTTCCCCACTGGAGGGTTTTGAGCACAGGCGTGATTTGGTTTGACTTAGAGTTTAGCTGTTTCTCTGGCTGCAGTGCTCAGAACAGACTGAAGAGTAGCAGGGTATCAGGACCGGACAGGAGGCTCTTCGCATCATCATGACCAAAAGGGATGGGGCTTAAAGGAGATGCGAAGGTACTCATCCTAAATACTCAGGGCCAGATTTGTTTTGGAATGCAAATTTTCAAGTTTTAGAAAGGAAATATAGTGTACAAAGTAGTGAGACACAGGTCCCATACTGTGTATTTGCTATTGTCTCCATCTAAAAACAAGGGGAAGGAGGGTGAATAAAATAGGAGAAAATAATCCTCCGCAATTTTTATTTTTCTAAAGTAAAACATATGTTCCTACTTTAAAGCACCATTTTCCATTTCTATCTGGTACACTGTGGCACTTTCATCTTTGACAAAAAGCCTTGGTAAGTCACAACGGCCTGGGTTTCCTCACTCCCTTAACCTCCCCTCCTCCTGTTTTTGGTTTTTGGTTTTTTTTCTTTCCTTTCCTTGTTCTACTGTGGCAGGGAGGCACTGAGTAAGGAGGAAAAAGAGCAATGAAGAAGAAAGTTTGGCAAGAAATAGAGGGAGAGAAACAGTGTGAGTTTCCACGTTCTAGGCTGAATAAAGTGCCAGAGCCATGCCAGTTATCAGTTGGAATAGGAGAAATGCAGAAGGCTCATTACGATTGTGATAAAAACAAGGCAAGTTCATCCATCTGGCCTGTGTGCTTAAAATGCAGATCGGCCTCCATCTTCACCCAACCTAAATAGCCTGCAAGTGTCCAGGCGCAGTGTAATCAGAGGGGACTGGAGACTGGCGAGGAGAAATACTCCACTGCATCTGACATAGGCCCCGCTGCTGCTCCAAACTCAGTGTTGCCTTCCCTTTTCCCTTGATTTTCCCTTTCTATTTTTATTTCTCCTCAAGTTCAAGAGTCACTTAGGGTTAAGGAGGGGCTAAGAAAGCAGGAAAGAGAAGTAATGGGCCAGGGCCGTGGTGGCTCACACCTATAATCCTAGCACTCTGGGGGAAGATTATTCCAGATCAGCTGTCTCTACAAAAAAATAGAACAATTAGCCAGGCATGATGTCACACACATGGTGGCACGTGCCTGTAGTCCCAGCTACTCGGGAGGCTGAGGCAAGAGGATCACTTGAGCCCAAGAGTTTGAGGTTGCTGTGAGTTAGGATGACACCACTGTACTCTAGCCCAGGAGACAGTGAGACCCTGCCTCAAAAAAAAAAAAAAAAAAAAGAGAGAGAAGGAATGAAAAAGTGGGGGAGGTGAACAACACTGCACCTTAAGACCTTTAAAAACAAAGATCCTAACTTCTAGGCAGTTCATGAAGGATCTAAATCAGTCAATGCAATAAAAAAACAAGAAAATGTTAGACGGACAAAGTGAAAAACATATTGTCACAGAACAATGAACCTTTTTGCAGGAAAAGTATTATAGATCTCAGTATTCCTTTTAAACAAATTCATTTTTTATCTGCCGGATTTATCAAATAAGGGATACTTTCCTCTTATAATACTCATGCATGAGTGTGTGTTAAATGTGTTCTACATATATTTCTCCTTCTATTGTTACAATCTCCCTTTTTTAGATTTTTATGGCTTCCCCCACTTGTTACAGGTAAGAAAACCAAAGCACAGGCTAAGTGACTTGCTCAAGGTGAGACTGTAAATAGCAGATCTGCAATAGGAACAATGATCCACCTGCCCCCAAAGCCACTGGAGACTTCTTCTAAATTAGAGTTTTAAATATTTGCTATGCTGTAAATTCTGCCTTTCATGTAAGACTTGTTTACAGACTGTACCAGGGAAAATGCCTCTAATGGACTCCATCTTAAGAGAATAAAAGGAAGAGAGGACCCTTGTTTTTAAGGAACTTACAGTCTGTGGGACAGACACTACACCCCTAGGTTCGTGGCACAGCACAACAATCTTGAGCCAAAAGACTTGGGCTCAATGCCTGGCTCTGCCCATATCCGGGACCACAGACAAAGAAGGTCAGCTGGTCCCTGAGTCCAAGCTACCTCTGCCATAAACAGAGCTATCTGCTTGCCTTACAAGCCTATTGTTGAAATGAATGGCATATTATATATGAAACCGTTTATAATAGTTAATAACTATCAAATGTAAGATCTTACAGGCTCTTTACCCTAAATACCTGGGGCCAGATGGATTTGTTTTGAAATTCTGAATTTTTCAAGTTTTAGAAAGAAAACATAGTGCATATACCTAGTAGGGTCTGGGGTAGCACCACGTAATCAAGCACTTACTAGTCTGCAGCAAAATGTGTGAACAGACATACTTAGAGGGATTAAAAAGCATTAATAATAACCTCAAGTCAGTTCGAGGCGAATTTCTCACCAGATGAATTTTAAAAACCCACTTTGAGAGTTTTGGGGTTATAGATAAAATCATGGTATAATTTCAGATGCAGACACATGCTACAACTGACCTACGAGCACCAAACAGACCTCGACACTGAAGGGTCTTTGGGTTGGGTCCCCAAAAACAAATAAAATTTGACAGATATTTCCAGTGACAATAACATGGTAGAAAGTGAAATGATATTTTTAAAAAAAGGCTCTGGCATGTTGCAGGAAGGGTAAGCACACTAGTAGGGCTAACGAGGGTGGGCGTGTAGAGGGAGAGGCTGGGTAGGATGGAGCGGAAAGGCTCCACAGTCAGATTCCCGTCACGTGATTTAAATGCTAAGGAGGATGGACTATTCCACACAGCAGTGCACTCTGCAGTACAAAATGTGGTGTGTACACCCTCTGTACATACATTTCTGTTTGTTAATAAATCGTGTACACAGTTACTGTGCTAATGGATTATTTCTAGTAAACATATCACAAAAATGAAATTAAAAGGATAAAATTCAAAGTTGTAATGTTTTTTCCTAAACCGCTACATGAGACAACTATTGCTGTCAGTAATGAAGTGGCAAGATCAAATCTAGGTTTCAGAAAGAGATACATGGGGTAGCAACGAAGAGGTGTATCCTTTAAAAAAAAATAAACGAAGAGTTCCCTTAGTTAAAAAGTCGAGACAATGCCGAATTCAGCAAGTCAAATGGCCCTGAGCACTTCTCACAGAGCCTTTGTTGCTGAGGTGTTCCCCACTCTTAGATCACAGAATCTTCTGCGATCCCTCCACAGAAGGAATATGTTGGGAAACCAGTACCCGCAGAACACAGTGTGGGAAAAGTGCATCTAAACTCATTTTCTCCTTCCCCTTAGAGTGTGCCGTTCCCAGTGCTGTGTAACTAAACTTCTGTCCAGGTAATGGAAACTGTTCTGATAAGGCAGCCTCGTGAGAGACTCTGAGTCAGAACCACCAGCCAAGCCTCTTCTAGATTTCTGGCCCTT